TCTATTTTGAAAAAAAAATTATAAAATGAAAAGTTTTCTATTTTAGAAATCAGTTTTCTAATTTGGACATCATTTCAAATTTGGAAGTAAGTTAGCTAAAAGGAAAATTAGTTTCCTAATTTAGGTTTAAGGGTAATTTGAAAAATTATTTCCTAATGTCGTCCTCTTAAAAAATATCTAACCTAATTTATTTGGATAGTTCAAATTAGTTAGTAATTAATTGGGCTAAAGGAGTTTCAATCAATAAGTTTAATTCAAAAACCTATAAAATATTTTGGTGTGAGGATAAATATGATCCTTATTGGAAGCCTATATGCATAACAACTTTTAACCCTTCGAGGATTAGGAAGCAATAACCAAAAGTCTTTTTTAGGACACATTATCACCACTTCTTTATCCTTGGAGGATAAGAAAGACATTCCTCCTATAAAAATAAGGAGAGGTGCAATAAAAGAAAAAAGAAGAGTTAAGGATACAAGGCTAGGGTAAGAAATAAAGAGAAAATAATTTTCTCTTCCTTAAAAACGTGCCACACCTTCCCTCTCTTTTAGGATTATCACAAAATATCCTAAATACATTTTTAAAGAGAACACTAAACAAATCTGAAAAAAGATGGAGCAAGCACTTTTCCACTTCTAAGTGCTTCTTGTTTGGGTACTTAAACCGTGTGGATTATCGATAAAGGTCAAACACTTAGATGACTCCTTTTTTTATAAAGGTTAAATTCTGTGCTATAAGAGGTAATCCTTTACTTATGGTTTAATTCATGTACATATAATTAGTTGATTCAACGGTTTGATCTTAGGAGCATTAGATGGAGGAAAATTTTTGTTTTATTCTCGCACCTTTATATGATGTATGATCCGTCGGTACACGTTGAGCTCGTGTAGGCCTCACCCATTCATGTGTCTAACATGCACATCCATAAGGCACATCTTGTCTTGGCCTTTAGGCTTGACATGCACCTAGTGCACGCTTGCCATATCGTGTGCCCAACATGTGACTAGCCTACGTAAGACATGTTTGGCCCCGTCACGCACTTAGCACATGATCGGCCTAGCTAGGAGGCCCGGTATGGGCAAGGCACTCCTTACCCGTCGCATACCGAGCACACAAGTAGCCAAGCCTATCATGCTCCCAACACTTGACTAGCTAATCTCCTTATAGCTTGTGCGAGTGCTAAATTCCAACATTGGCCTCACGCATCCCACTTTTTTAAGCCAAAAAATTAGTTTAAAAACATATATAAAATACCAAAACATCGGATTCACAATCAAGAATGGATAATTCATGTAATTAATTATAATTAACAAAAAATACAATGAAACATTCAACGGAGGCTGAAAGATTAAACAAAGGCTTTGATACTAATTGAAGGATCATGCATCTTATGGAGGTGCAAAATAAAACAAAAAAATTTTTCTCCATCAAAGGCTCTCAAGATCAAGTCGTTGAATCAACCAATCATACATATGTGAATTAAATCATAAGTAAAGGATTACATTTTGTAGTGTAGAATTTAACCTTTGTAGAAAAGGAACCATCCAAGTATCTAGCCTCTATTTATAATCCACATAGTCCAAGTACCCACACAAGAAGCACTCAAAAGTAGTAGAGTACTAGCTCTACCCTTTTTTCACTTCTTTAGTTTTTTCTCTTTAAAAATCTATTCAATGATATTTTACGATAACCCTAAGAGAGAGAGAGAGTTAGTGTGTGTATGGGAGGAAGAAAACTATTTTCTCTTTTATTTTTTGCTTATTATGTATACCTAGCCTCACATCTCCTCTTTTCCATACTTCCCCATGCATTTACGGAGGGAGTGTCTTCCTTGACCTCCAAGGATAAGAAAGTGGCGACATTATATCCTAAAAAGAGCACTAGGTTGTTACTTCTTATTCTTCTAAAGATTATGAGTTGTTATGCATATGGGCTTTTAATCTTATCCTTTTAAACCTTAATCCTTATCTAATATGGTTCATGTTTATCCTCTACCCAAATATCTTGTAGGCTTTTTAATTAAACCTATTGGCCTAAATTCTTTTGGTCCAATTAATGACTAATTAATTTGGACTATTTAAATCAATTAGGTCGGATATTTTTAGAAGGCCCACATTAGGAATTAATTTCCCAAATTACTCTTAAACCTAAATTAGGAAACTAATTATCTTTTTAAGTAATTTACTTCCAAATTTGGAACTAACTTCTAAATTAGGAAACTAATTTCTAAAATAGAAAACTTTCCATTTTTAAAAACCTTTTTTCAAAATAGAAAACTTTCAAAATTGTAAACCTTTTTCAAAATATTTGTTTCTTTTTTATTATGTGAATGTTTAAACTTATGCATGTGACTTAATAGGCTTCTAGATATATTGGCAATGTATCAAGAATAAAAGATAACTTTTTTATTTCTTGATACATAAATCAAAATTAGCCTCTAGCAAGGTATCATAACTACTTAATTGTCTAGGAGGATTAATCAATTCGTAATTACCTTTCACGAGCATGGTTACTATACAATTCGAGTCTTATTATCAATTTATCATAGTGTGATCTCGAACTTAGTTATTATTTTGTTCAATTATGATAACATAATTTTTTTTTTGATTTCTAAATGTTTTAGCTCTTAGAGTAAACTAACTATGCTTTATCGATGTACTCCTCCCGTAGCTACGGATTCCTTGAGTAGACATTCATCGAAGTGCAATGTGATAACTCCTTTAGCATATAAGGAATGACATGTCCTATCTTAGTCATTCATCTATCTCCATTAGATTTCTAGTGCACCCAATGAATCGCCTACTACAACCATTTACTCGGGTCCATCTAAATGAATATCAAAATACATAAATTCTCTAATGAGATAACCATGATGACTTTAAGTTAAAGGATCAATTGTACCTATCTCGCATGAGATTCTCATAAACTAAACCAAATGGCTTCTCAAAGCAAGTGAAGTCTAGTGATATTTTTTTGTAACATTAATCACCTATATGCTTACGTTGGCATCACCATGCCAACAGGTGTGAGATCTCCTAGCTTGAGCCGAGCACTAAAAAAATCTAATAACATATAGTCAATGTTCATTCTTCACAATACTACGACTTAAGATATTTAATGACATCAATTAAGTACATTAATGTTTGTCTCACATCTTTCGATCAATCATTAATGCAATGCATATCATATAGACTTCTATCTAATTCTAATAAATAAACGTAAACAATAAGAATTATTAGAAAGACTTCTTTGATTGATGAAATACATAATGCAATATTATAATAAGTCAAAAGTATCCAAACGTGGTTGGATCTTGGGCACCTACACTAACGGAGAGTTGACATGTTTTTGAGAGGGAAAAAACTATTTTCTCTCTTTTTCCTACAATGTCGTGTATGTTTAGCCAAAAGTTTCCTCTTTGTTGCACCTCCCCTTCTATTTATCTTCTTTGTCCTTAAAGGACAAGGAGGTGGTGGCAACAAGTCCAAAAAGGACTCTAGATTATTGATTCCAAGTCCTCCAAGGATTAGGAACCGTAATGCATGTGATCCTTATAAAAATTGATCCTTATCCAATAAGATTCATATTTATCCTTCTTTCAAAATATCTTGCAAGCTTTTAAATTAAATCTATTAACCTAAACTCTTTTGGTCTAAGTAATTACTAATTAATTTTTTACTATCCAAATAAATTGGGTTAGTTATGTTTAGGAGGTCCATATTAGAAAATAATTTCTTAAATTATCCTTAAACCTAAATTAGGAAACTAATTTTCTTTTTAGGTAACTTACTCCGAATTTGGAACTAACTTCCAAATTAGAAAACTTATGGCTAAAATAGAAAACTTTCTATTTTAGAAAAATTTTATTTTTGAAAACTTTTCATTTTAGAAAACTTTTTCCAAAACAAGAAACTTTTAAAACTTAAAAACCTTTTCCAAAATCTTTGCTTCTCTTTTATTATACGAATACTTAAACTTATACGTATGACTCAATAGGTTCCTAGATATATTGGAAATGTATCAAGAATGAAAGACACCTCTTTTATCCGTTGACACGGAAATCAAGATTGGCCTTTAGTAAGGTATCATAACTACCTAATTCTTTAGAAAAATTAATTAATCCGCAATCACCTTTCATGAGCATGGTTACAATACCATTCAATCCTCGTGTCAATTTATCACGAGTGTGATCTCAAGCATTGTTATTAGTCCGTTCGATTATGATCACATAAGTTTTCTTCAATTTTTAAATATCTTAGTTCTAGCGTAAATTAACTATGCTCTATTGGTATGGCCATAGAATTCTTGAATCAACATTTATCAAAGTGCAATGTGATAACTTCTTTAGCATACAATGAATGACATGTTCTATCTTAGTCATCCACTTACCTCCAATAGATTCCTAATGCGCCCAACGAATTGCCTACGTGTAATTCTTTATTGGGTCTATTAAAACGAGTTTCAAAGTTCATAAATCCTCTAATGAGATAACCGTGATGACTTTAAGTCAAAAGATCGATTGTACCCATCTCGTATCAAATTCATATAGACTAAACCAAATTGGTTCTCATAACAAGTTAAATCCAATGATATATTCTCTAACATTAATCACCTAAGTGCTTGTTTTGGCTTCACCAAGCCAATAGGTATAAAATCTCTTACTCGGTATCTTATAGTATGAGCATAGCACTCACAATTCTTACAAGTCTTACTATATATAGTCAATGTCCATTCTTCATAATACTATGACTTGAGACATTTAATGATATTATTTAAGTGTATTAATGTTTGTTTCACATCTTTTGATCAATCATTAATGTTATGCATATGATATAGACTTTTATCTAAATCTATTTAATAAATGTAAATAATAAGAATTAATAAAAATAATTTTTTTATTAATAAAATAAATAATATAATATTACAACAAGTATACAAAGGAATCACAAAAAAAAAAAAATTAGAAAGAATCAAAGCAACACTACTCAGCCTATGTTCACCATCCATGACGCCCTAGATTTCCCTACTAATGAACGGTTTTCCCTAATGGGGGAAACACCATCAACTTCAATATGACACCTTACCGCCTTCCTTCCCTTACCCTTATGAACATAACCAATTCCAAATTTAGTATTTCCAACAACCGCCCATAACCTACACATGAAAAAGCTCACTCCATAAGTAACAAACAAGCCCCCAAGCTCCTACATAACAACTATATCAAACAAGACTACATCTCCACATAATTTTCCCGACCTAAATATATCCCCTAAACCTACATCCCAACATCAAAGAGAGTCGACAATAGAATTTTTAGTAATAGACTTGCAACAATCCGAAAAGATTTGTAAATACACATTGATTGTAAAATTCTCACGAGGAAGGCCACTAATTAATATGATAAGGAACCACATTCAAAAGCTTTAGGGTTTGAAAGAAAATCCGATAATTAGTCCGATAGACCTAAGACTTACTAATTAGATTGTTACCATATGAAGATTTTATAAAAGCATGGTCTATAGAATCTAGAATAATAGAAAATTCTCTCTTTCGAATGTTTAGATGGGATATTGATTTTTTCATAAAGTATGAATCAACTAGAGTGATAGTATGGATTAGATTTCCCATTTTACCAATAGCTTTCTTTCCTTCGACTTTCCCGAGAGAAATTGTCATTCGTCTAATTGATCGTACATTGAATGGCTCTCACCCCATTCATACAAGGGTATTCATAGAGGTGGATTTAATAGAAGTCATTCCATCATGGGTATGGATATCGGTTGGGGAAGACAAGAAGAATGGATTCTGGTAGTAAGTCATGGTGGAATCTAATACAAACTTATGTAAACACTATAAGCTCTAAGGACATCGTGAGAATGTATGTCAAAAGCTATCTTCTAATAAGGTACATGATCGATAAGAGGTTGCTATACTCGGGTAACAATAATCAAAATGTTCATCCTCAACAAGGCCGAAATGGAAAGCAATAACAAAAAGTCAAAATACAAAGGAAACCGTGAATCCAAAATTTAGCCTAAAAGAGTCTATCTCTCATCCAACCAAGTCTACTTTGATCACCCTATCGGATAAAAGAAAAGGAATATTAATAAAAGTGGAGCACAATTATCTTAACAACTAGAGAGTCATTCATATATCGGATGGTACTTTAGCTAGTATATCAAATACTCATTTAGCTCACTAAGAGGTCATAGAGTCTAATATAGGGAAGAATGCAGGTTTGTACTAGCCTAGCTGCTAGGAATTCAATAAAAATGAGGGCCAATTAGTTCATGGGAATAAGCGAGGCACACTTAGAAATGATGAATGAGAACTTAGTGATGAAGGAACAACAATGTCAACATAGTAGCACTAAAAAAGCTAGTGGCGATGAAATACCGTTAATCCAAGTGAAAAAAGAAGAACAATAAAGACATGGTAAGCATCTCACATTATTAAAAAAATAGTTATCAAGAATAAATAGCAAAAAGAATAATTCCTTGCATGCGGAGGAGCAAAACAACAATGTCGTTGGCCAAACAAGGAGTTCAACACCTATACTTCAGCCTACAAAATCTAATTGGTGAAAATTCCTTTAGTTTACTTTTACAACTTAGATTAGATGATGGGGCTATAAAAAATGAGATGATCATGGAGTTATCACCCCATGCGATATCCGAGGGTGCATATGAGAAGCAAGAGTGGGTGGCTTAGAAGTATCAAGAGAAAATGCAAGATTTGAAGACACGAGGGAAATTTGTGTTTTCTAGAAAAAGAAGATACCGAAAGACTTAGTATAACTAAGTGGCTAAAGAGTAACAAGATCCGATGTGGATCATAACAAGGAGCCAACGTTTTGCTCTATCTAATGAAAAACATAAGTTAGAACATAAGAGGCACTCATACCTCTTAAAAAAGAAGGTATTTGAAATACATGATTAATGAAAATAAAATGTCCATTTCAATGATATTAGAACCTAAAAAGATGGGTTCAAAACTTCCTAAGATAGCAAGGTATCCGAATTTCCTAGGTTTCGTACACGGTAACCTAGTTAATAAATACATATGGATATTTTGGAAGGACGACTCGGAGGTGGACATGTATATAGTATGCACACAATCTATAACCTATTTGGTGAGAGATATTGTGAATAACAAAAGTATTTTTTACTCGCTATATATGACGGTACGAGATGAAAAAAAGAAGAATACTCGTGGGATAATCTTAGCATACTTAATATATCAAGTCCATGGATACTAGGAGGAGATTTCAATGCCATTAACAAACTTATCCGAAAAGGCTAAGGGAATTGTTACAAACTAGAACTTGGCTTCAATGTATGATTTCAACGACGGAATCAACTTGTTCGACTTACATGATGTTAGCTATTCGGGTACCAAATTTACACGGTGCAACAATCAAGAAGGTAACTCCTAAATATGGAAACAACTCGGATAGGTGATTAGTGAGCACTATAGCGATAACGTGTTTTCCAAAACTGTCTTATAAGCATCTTCCTAGGGTATATTCGGATCATTATCAACTATTATTATCGTGGGAGAGAGACAATCTTACACCTATTGGATTTTTCTTCAAGAAGATGTGGATCACTCATGATTGCTTTTAAGAGTTTGTTCACAAACAAGTAAAAGCAAAATCACGAGTAGCAATGCTTTTCCGAACTTACAAATGAAACTAAACATTTGAGGGGGAACTAAGGACTTGAAATTAGAAGGTATTTAGGGATGTGAATTAGAAGATGAATAAGGCTTCGGACGAGGTTATTCACTCGGAGGCTACCCTATAAGCATTATGGAAGTAGGAGAACTATGACAAATGTGTAGCAAAAAAAAAAAATTGACAAAATTGGTAGAGCAAGAAGTAATGCTATTACAAGAGAAATTAAGGAACAAATGGCTACGGACAGGCGATCGTAATTTTATATACTTCCATGCATGTATTAGGTAGAATAAGAGTAGCTCCAAAATTATTGTGAAAATGGATGATGGTTTGGATTATCAATCTTATATTCGGATGGGGAATGCAATGATAGATTATTTTAAAAAGAGTTTCAAGAGTAAGAGGACTTACTTGAATGAAGCTTTCTTGAATATAATTCCCTCATTAGTGATAGAGGAACAAAATAACTCACTAATGGAGATACCACAATCAGATGAAATTAAGGTAGTAGTATTCAATAAGAAAGAAGGTAGTGTACCAAGTCCAAACGAGTTTACAAGAGCTTTCTATAAGGCATGTTGGAGTATTATTGCAAAGGATGTGATCCTCACCATTTAGAGAGGGAGAAATCCCAAAAGTAATAACTGCTACAAATCTAGTGCTCATTCCTAAATCTACTAATCCAACCGAGGTTTGAAGAAGCTGTGTCCAATCAATATATGCAATTTCTCATATAAAATACTTACCCGCATTATATCAAATAGATTAGGCATATTACTTTCTTTCATAATATCCAAAGAGCAATCTGTCTTTATTAAGGGAAGGTTGATTCATAAGAATGTTGCCTTGGCCTAGGAACTCTTTACCGACATAGATAGAAAGATACATGGAGGGAATATTATACTAAAAGTAAATATGTCAAAGGCTTACGACAAGTTAGAATGGGTATTTAATTTTTGGCTTTTAGATAAATTTGGTTTTTCTAGCAACTAGAGACATATGGTTCACAAGTGTATGTCAAGCTCATAGTATTCCATCATTCTAAATTCTACTTCGTATAGCTTTTTAACTCAAGTCATGGAGTGAGGAAAGGTGATCCTTTATCACCTGCCCTTTTCATTCTAGCACAAGATGTTCTCTCTAGGCACATCAATGTATTGATCTCATTAGAAACTATTAAGCCTTACTATAGTGGAAGGAATAATAGCTTCATTTCACATTTGATGTTTGCAGATGATATATTGTTATTTTGTAATAGTGGGAAGAGAAATGTAGACATATTATTAGCTCTTATCAAGGACTATTCAATTGTTAGTGGACAACTTATAAATTCCAAGAAAAGCTATTTCCGTGAAGTACCAAGTCGCCAACTAATAAGAAAGCCCTTCTCACCACTTGGAATGGATTCACAATGGCTACTAGAATAATAAGCTATCTTGGAGTTCCCCTATTTAAAGGAAGATCTCGATGGGGATTATTTTACAAACCTAAAAACAAAAATAAAAGGAAAAGTAGCAAGATGGAAAGGAAGGCTACTATCGGTTGGGGGAAGTTAACACCGATTCAAAGCGTTCTCTCTTATATACCTATATATATCATAGGAGTACTTCTAATCCCAAAAAAAAAAATGATTGTTACATTGTAAGGCCATATATCCAACTTCTTTTGAAATAATGGGGAAGAAATTAGGCATCACTGGATCAATTGGAAAGCAATCTTCCTTAGGTGGGTTGGGAATTCGAAATCTCTAGGAGGTTCTTAATACAATGAAAGGGAAGTCGACATGGTCTTTCTTAACAAACTCATCTTTATAGAGCCACTTTATGTGAATCAACTATAGAGAGCCTTCCTATTTTGGTCATCTTAATGTTCGAAGGGTTCGATGATATGGAGATCATTACATCCTCATATCTATTACTTGTTAAATGGTGAGGGATGGTAAGGTTAGTATATGGAAAGATAGATGGTCACTTACAAAGTTTCCTCGGCCAATGGGAGACTTGAAAATCACGGTTGCTCAAGCTAAGCAAAACGGACTCAATTATTTAGCTCTACCCCCTATGATACGGATCGAATCGGACAAGATATATTTATAGGAAAATATGGTAGATAAATTGGTTTGTACTTGGAACAAAGTCGAGCTAACTCACTACCAAATATTATTGTAAGGAAATGAGGTTTAAAGCTCCTACGTTTGAATAGTGGTGAAGCCTTCGAAACTAGTGGATTCCATAGAAAATTAGAATCTTGGTTTGGAAGGTATTTCATAATGCATTAGTAATGAAACATAATATCATGGATTGTGGTATTTCTATCACCTCTAGGTGTCAATGCTACGTAAATTCAAAGGGCGAAACTGTTGGTCATCTTTTCATTCAAGGTGAGGTGGCTAAGGAAGTCCGAAAGCACTTTGGAGATAAAGTGTATGTAACAATAAATGCACGGGATATAAATTAGTTTGCTATGAGATGGCTAAAGAAAGGAACACCTCACAATCAAAAGTAGTTTATATGCATGGTGGTATTTAATTATAGTTTATGGGAGATTGGAATGCTCGGAATAAATCTTTGTTCGAAAGGAATCTATGAATAGGCAAATCATTAAGTGTAAGATCATAAAATGGATCCAACAACTATCTTTAATTTTCTAACCTTTAACCAATTTATGTTTTCACGATAAGATATGCATCAATGCTTTGGGAGTAAGGGTTAAGCAAACCATAATGTGTAAGAGCATTTGGATCGAGTTGCAATTTCCTCTAAGAGGTAAGCATAAGTCGAATTCGGATGGTGCTTCAAGGAATAACATTTGTCTGTAGGGGTGGAATATTAAGAGATGTCATGGGTAGTTTGATAATGGCCTACTCTAACTATTATGGTTATGGAACCAACTTTATAGGGGAAGCATTGGCTTTATTAGATGGCCTCAAAATTTGTAAGGATATAGGGCTATTAGTGGATATAGTAGAGGCAAATTCCATAATGGTGCTAGATTGTTTATCCTCAAAGATATCATGTCCTTGGAAATTATCATATATAATTAGAGATTACGAGAGGGCTCTTCTATCCACATACTAATATTATTTATACATTAAGAGAAGGTAATAGAGTAGCCGATCATTTAGTCGATCGGGCATATCAACACACTTCGTACAAAATAGTTACTAATATATCGATGTTGCCTCAATCATGTAAAGTACCCATTTATGATGATAAATTGGGTTTTTATAATTATTAGCCATAACGTATCTTCGACATTCTTTAGGGTTAGGCTTGAAAAGACCAGACTTGTTTAGCATAGTATTAAATTTTGATTCAGAGTTATCAACTTGCAAAAATCAAAGGTTTAGGTTTCCTTATCCTCCCAAAATATTAGGCTAGGTCGGTTTATCCCCCCTTATACTTTCCATACTTTTTTCTAATATGTCTCCTAGGGTACGGTCTCTATTTCTTAAAAAAAAATATTACAATAAGTCAAACATATCCAAACAATATTGGATCTAAGCCACATATACTAACATTGACAATAGAATTGGTGTTCTTCTTTGTTGTCTTAGAAGAGGCTATTGTTCTTCATAATCATTAACTCTTTAGTAAATCACCAAAATGTAGAGGAAGTTCTTAAAAGCTGATCAAATAACTAGGTAGGTAGGCCAATCAAGACGTAAAAAGCTAATGTTGTGACTTATAGAAGCAATAGTCATCCAACTAAGTAGAAAAAATACAAATAGTGAAAGGCAAGAAAGAAGAAGTAGGTAATGCTAGCAAGGCACAAGTTGTGTGGGCGACAAATGTATAGTCAAAGTCCAAATAAATAGAACTTCGAGTGTTATCTAGTGTGTGAGTGAGAGTTTTGAGATAGAGTGTTCAAGGGTTTCTATTACTAAAGATTAAAAGTTTTGAAGTTAAAAGTTTTCCGATGCAAAAGTTATTATCTCATCACAAAGATGTGATATTAGTATTTATAATGAAAAAATATAACTGCTAAGATCATGTCATGTCATTCAAATTTGGACGATCAAATTTGGTTTGAGCAATTTAACTTCTTTGAGTTAATCTACTTCAACTTACTAGTAAAAGCTAAAATAAGTAACAATTGGACATTCTTTTAGTGGACTCTCTCTAATGAATTCTAAAAATAAGGCATGGACATTGGCTTTACTAGAACATCCACATCTATTATTGCAACATATGACCTTGCGTTAAGTGAAGCACATCTTCAATCTAATCCATTTTGGACCCATGTCAAAAATCAAGAAAAATAATATGGAGTAGCATATACTAAAAAATTAGCAAAGTTATTTCATTATTTTTTTATAGACAAATTGAACATATACAAATGGTACCAATATTCCTCTTTTTAAAAGGTTTGAAATTCAAGTATTTAAAAAAAAAAAAAAACATCACTCATACTTGATGTTCAAAAAGTTACAAGGTAATTAGTGACCATAAAAATGATGATTTAATTTACCGAGTGTTGATGGATATTTTCCTCATCCTTAATCGCCTCTGCCCAATACCAATTTCACCTTTTAAGATAACGGGTTAAAGGTCCAAGATGTCCTTCTATTGTTTTATTTTTTTTAATTGTATCATACTCTTAATTTGCATCTTAATTTCATCATTCTAGTCAATTTTTTTGGCGACTACATCAATTTCTAGCGTTAAATACATATGATGTTGACATGTGGCATTTATTTTCAAAAACAAATCTAAAAAAATTTAAAAAATCCTAAATATTAAAAATTGTAAATTGCCCCTCTTTTCTCTATCTTTATGTATAGAAATAAATAATTAATTTCATCTCTCAATTTTTTTCTCTCTCAAATTCTAAAATAAAAATAAAAATAAAAAAATCCCATAATGTGCCTTTTTTTCTCTATTTTTTTCTTTTGTTATTATGTTATGAGAAAATTTCATTATTTTTTTTTTTTTGCATTTGAATTGGAAATAAAATTTTATAATAAATTTTTGAAATAAAAAATAAAAATTTTGCTTCTATTCTTTCCTATACATAAAAAATTTTCTTTTTTGGTTTAAATTTGAGAGAAAAAAAATTAAAGGGTGAAATTAATTATTTATTTCTATACATAAAAAGGTGAAAAAAAGAGGCATTTTGGTAATTTTTTATTTTTTAAGATTTTTTTAATTTTTCTAAATGCCACTCATGAGCATCCTATTCATCTCGTTATTGGAAATTAATATAGTAACCAAAAAATTTGGCTAAAGAGATTGAATTAAGACATAAATTAAGAGTAGAGAGACATTTTCATGAAAAAAATTAATATAAAGAGATGTGATTAAGATAAATAAAATAGTAGAGAGATATCCTAAATCTTTAACCCATTGAAATAGCATTTAAATATTGTTTTGAAATATATTGAACAAGATAGAATGATATTGAAATAATTAGAGGAAATAGATGACAAAAACATACTTACTTCAAAAATATCCTTAAAATAAATATAAAAAGGATTTTTGTTCCCGCCTTTATGACTAATTAGTTTTTACTAGGTGAATGCTCATACTATGCTATGGTTAGGCAACCGTAACGTGTGCGGGATCGATAAAATATATGGTGCAGTGCGAGTTGAAGCTTCATCAATTGTAACATGTGCAAGATCGATGAATTGTATGGTTCAAGGTGCAAGTGAAAGTTTCATCTTTTATGGTTAATGGAAATTGAATAAATTTGTTAATCATAAGCATTATCTATTTATAGGGGTTTTTTTTATAGTGCAAGAAATTTGTTAGTTTTTCTCGCAATATTGATTTGTGACCTTTGGCAATGAGACAATAGTGAGGAAATGCAATGTTTGTAATATTATAAAATTATGCATACATGAAGCTACAATGCCTTTTTTGCTTAATCATTATTAGTTTTTCATGTCCGATGATTCATACATGTGAATGAGGATTTTAGGGTATTTATTCCACTAGATTGATGACATTGAAGACATGAGTTGCAACGAAATGGTGGTCGGATGTATTATTTGAAGGAATGCATTGAATCCGAAAAATTTTAAGTTTGTTGATGGCATCCATTAATTGATGTGACACCGTGTTTCTATCAATATATCCAAAGAATGATACTAATTGCCTACATGTGTATCCAAAACATGATTCAGCTTGTTTTTCCTAAGAGTATAAGTGTAGCTTCGGATGTATGATATAGAAGGATACAAGTTATATTATATTTTTAAAAAAAAATGAAAAAGGAAAAATCATAGCTTGAGGAAACATACGTAATTTGAAAAGCTAATGATATGAAAAGTTTTTTTTTTTCAAAGAAAGAAATCAATTTATGATTTTGGGTGCCGCTTACATTAGGATAGGATTCTCATTCGGCATGTCATAGATTGCATATGAGTAGAAGTTTGTGTCTTTGTTTGTTGGGCAACAAGCATAATGGACACCCTAGATACCACCAGACCGTAATTTGTATTGATTTGGACTATTTTGCCCTTAATTATGTAACAAATCCTCTATCAAAAAATAATTAATGAGTATTATTTGTAGCAATCTTTTTTTTTTAATAATGAAATTTATATATACACACATACATACACGAACACACATGTATATAAAAGAGGATATATAATTTGTTTGATTTTTTGTAAACCGATAGAAATCTTTGAAAACCTCGGCATTTCCGATCGATGATTGGAGCAAATGCTCAATAGTTGATCTATTTTCATTTTGTTATCTCATACTATCATTGCTCTAAGTGACAAAGACATAGGATGAAATCTAAGTAATTTGATAGGGAGTTAACAATGTATTATGATAAGACCAAAAACGAAAAAGAAGTTTTACCTTCAATGTTTATGTTGGATTATCTTGGTTATTTGTTTATTGATGAAGGTGAGTAATGCGGGGTATTGAGAGTGATGTCACTTGATAGGTAACTAAAACATGTATAAAGAGATACAAATGGATACATTTGTGAAACCTATAATCGTACCTACCAAACACATGAGCTATAATTTTTTAAGACATGTGAGTGGAAACATTTTTGGAATTTGTAAGTTCACCTAACAAACATTGTACCTATAATTTTTGAAGAGTTGTAAATAAATCCATTTGTGAGATCCGTAAGCTCGGCTAGCAAACAATGTAAATGTAATTTCTTAAGACTCGAAAGCATATACATTTGTGAAACTTGTAATCTCACCTAATAAATACTATAGCTATAGTTTTTCAAGATCTATAAGTTGATAGCTTTATGAAACTTGTAACCTCACCGTACAAACATTCCTTCATGGAACTTGTAACCTCACCTAACAAACATTGTATCCGTAAACTTGTAACTTCACCTAAGAAACATTGTAACTATAATTTTTTAACCACACAAACTAATATTTTTTTCTTTTGACTCGCTAAAAAGTTGAATGGTAGGTCAGTTTTCTTCTTAAAGTTCTTTGGCAATAAGAGCTAAAACAACGGAATTGTTAATGAACTTAAGAAATCGACATGTTGTGAGTTATTAAGGTGCTTACGATCAATAAGAAACCGTCAAGTATGGTTTCTTATGTGTAATGCACAACACCACATCTATAAATGAGATGGAATTACATATAGGAAAGATAATATGGACAGTAGTAAATCATTCTAATGTCGAAAATAATTTAGTGGTTATTTATGAGAATGGCATCAAAATTTATAGAGTGGATTGGTGATCGAAATTTGGATGAGATTTGTTAGAAATTCAAAATTGTCACATGTATCATGGTTTGAGGCCCCATTAACAAAAAAAAAATGCAACGATTAATGGAGAAAGGAAGAACACCGCACATACATATGCACATAGATTATGGAACAATGAGTCGAGTCAAAGCAAATTTAGAACAACCACAAAGGAGAAGCATAATTCATTTTTAACATTGGCAATATCATCAAAAGAGGACTATTTCATGAGCTACTAAAACTTTTTCTTTAAAAGACAAACCAACAAAACAATGTCTTTAGCATGTCAAAACAAACCCAAACAAGTTATTTAAAACGCTTTTACTCGTATGACAAAGCTACATAGTTGAGTAAAGAAAAGTAAGTCATCACATATATCAAAAGGCTAAAAGTAAGAAAAGTGTTTGGAAGGCATGATTGATCGTGTCGCATTCGAATGATGTCATAGAATGCCACCATTACTATCATGTGCTTAAAATATTTAAATTTAGCATAGTAGGAAAAAATGTATTTCATGAGTAAAAGTTGTATTTTCGTAGATCACTTACTTTATATTTTGTTTGCGACGAGTAGCGCATACCCTAACTATGGTTACTCTATAAGTCGCTTGCATAGGCAAGGCAAGATAGGTTTTTCAAGCTTAGGCACAATCAAAACTCGGTGTTGAGGTTGAGGTTAAGGTAATGATAGGAGCAAGGGAATTGATACCGTAAGAAAACAAATAAAGAAAGTGAATTTGAAATCATTTAGATCGTTGTATCACGTTGACAAACATAATGGATATTAAAACTATATTATTTTAGATGCCGAGATGTAAGTAGCATGAAATGTAAATGTTTTCTTAACCTTTTATCCATAGCTCGTATGTTGAATACGAATTTCTTTCGAATATTGAAATAATGGAATTAAAATATTTATATTCGTATTAAATGTTATTTAAGCAATCGTATGAGACTTTTAGGGGGTATTAATTTAAGAATGTATTAGGTGGAAAGTTACATTAACACTTATGTTTGACTCGGTCGAGATAAATGACCATGAGATTTGATTGAAATTCAAGAAATTTTCTTGATTTATTTGTGATCTACGTAAAGGCCTTATTGGCAACGGTCACCAATAAGTTTGTTGACGCTTGTAACCAACCTCAAATGGCATCCGAAGTCATCTAACTAAGTTTTATAATACCATGTTGAACTCGTTGTTCCAAATTAAGGAACTTGAAAACAAAGAGATTCATGATTTTCTAATCCTAATGATTTTTCCAAAAGGAGACTCAAATTGTAAATGGGTTCTTTCTATATACAGTTATACTCCTTTTTCTTTTTCTTTTTTCCTACAATATAAGCCCCCATTAACAACATGTGTTTTTGGTGATTAATTACTAATTAAAATGGTTTGTTGACTTTCATGTTTGAATTCAAGTTTCCCATTTCATTGACTCCATGCATGATGCTTACTCAAATCATTCCACGTGCTAGCTAGAGTACAAAACATTGATCGAGGCTGAACATTTAGCTAATAATATTTTGTATCTCCAAAAACATTCTACTTTAACCAGCTTTGTTAAAGCATACCTTATGATGTCTTGATTTGGGGCTATGGATAAGTAGTCTAATTTGCGTTTTGCACTAGAGTTGACGGATGTAGGAGGCTAGATTTCAGTTGGTTTATCAATTGTTGACATAATGGTTGATGTAATGCTAGTCTAGGCTTTTTTGATAGCTGGAGTTAGTGGATTAGTTGTTCGTATAGCAGACTAAGTAACCAAAGAGCTAACAACTATTAATCCAACCTCAAGAAGTGAATCAGCAATTTCTTTAACATTTGGGTTGTCTCCTTCTTCATGGCCGGCATTGTCACTAAAAACAGAATTCACCAACAAATCACATTTATTATTTATAGATCCGAACATGTCAAAGCATATCTAAAACATTTTGAATTCCATCAACTTTTTTGTCATTGGGGGTGGAATTTTATAAGGATCTTCATAGCCTTTTTCCATGACATAATGATATGTTGAGGCTCCAAAAAGTTCTCTACACTCTTTTCAATCATCATGAAGTTGACTACATCATGTCCACCGAGTGATAATACATGCTATTTTGAACCCGGGTATAGTAGAATCATATCGGTAAAAGGTGAATATATACCGACATATCACAAAAAAATAATAATAACATGTCCGGAAATGTATGATAAAGTGGATGGAAAAATAAAGATCAACAATGATGGAAGATGTTATTTATTTTTGTTTTATAAACAGATGGAGAAAAAAAAAAGAGGAAAGATTTGATTATATGATGACCTAACTCAGTAAGAATGGAAAACCAAAAACATATATGGTGGTATAACTAATTATTGAATGGAAGATGACAAACAAAGCTTAGAACCTACCATGGGATTGGAGCTTAGAACCTAAAAACAGAATTCACCAACAAATCACATATATTATTTATAGATCCGAACATGTCAAAGCATATCTAAAACATTTTGAATTCCATCAATTTTTCTATCATTGGGGGTGGAATTTTATAAGGATCTTCATAGCCTTTTTCCATGACATAGTGATATGTCGAGGCTCCAAAAAAGTTCTCTACACCCTTCTCAATCATCATGAAGTTGGCTACATCTTGTCCACCGGTGACAATACGAAGCTACTTTGAACTCGGGTATAGTAGAATCATATCGGTAAAAGGTGAATATATACCGACGGATCACAAAAGAAAAAAATAACAATAACGTGTCCGGAAATGTATGATAAAGTGGATGGAAAAATAAAGATCAACAATGATAGAAGAAGTTATGTATTTATGTTTTATAAACAAATGGAGAAAAGAAAAAAAAAAAAAGAGGAAAGATTTGATTATATGATGACCTAACTCTGTAAGAATGGAAAACCAAAAAACATATATGGTGGTATAACTAATTATTGAATGGAAGATGACAAACAAAGCTTAGAACCTACCATGGGATTGGAGCTTTGTCTATAAATTCATGTGTTTCGCACCGAAACATGCATCATCTTGACATAAAAGTTTGTTGCGAGTGGGGCAAGCTTTATACCACCATCCCCAATTGAGGTCAAAGTCCGTCATTAAAGCCCTATAGGTGAATTTATGTCTTTGTGATACAAAACCAAATAAAGCATCAAAACAAAGCAACTATAGTTAATATTCATCAAGTTTTAGGATAAAAAGTGGCTAATGGACAAAACATCATAGGCATAAATCTAATTCCATTCGGATAGAAAGTCGATTCATGCTCGAATTAAACTACAACAATGAAGGTATTCGAGTCTTAACTTTTACCCAAACTACTATATTCACCTTAAATGATAAGGTTGCATGTAAATAAATTTTTCAAATATGGTACAAAATATAATATCTAATTTTGCAAAGAAATGGTTTTGAAAATCTTTTATTCGTATTTCATGCTTTACGGAATTTATAGTTATGGTTTAATTTGCATAATGTTACGTAAAGTTATGATTGGCGTCTCGATTGTAATTTCTTACTTGAGTTACAAAAAAGCATGAAAACTTTGGAAGACCAATGCAACCAAGCCGATATCAAGTAGCCAGACAAAACACCATCGGCTTTAGTTTTGCATAATGTGTTCATCTAAGGTAAAAAGAATTACTTTGTTTTAATAAGTGACCTTGATTCCTAAATTCAACAAAGTAACGATGACGTAAGCATCTTCTTGTCTCTTATTTTTTTCACTTTCTAATATGGTTATCAATCAATATCTAATATCATTAACAACACATTGACACCGAGTTAGTTTTTTTTTATCAATATTGTTTTGGACACCAAAAGCAATAATATTTTTAAGGTACAAAGAGTAGAAATATCATAGAGTGGTGTTGGATGGTAATGCAATCATTTGAATTAAAAATTTAGTTTAAACTGAAATGTGGGTGTTCAAACATAAATTGATTACCGACCTTAAATTCTTGAGGATTCATTCATAATAATTCTTTAATGGTCTTTCTATTCTTTTTTTTTCGTTGTTCAATATTGGTTGCGGAGTCTGGACAAGTATAGGCGGATGTGCAATGTCCGATGGGACATCTTTAAATATGCAAGGAAAATAGTTTGGATCGAGTAACAATAAGTAAAGTGAAAAAGCAACACGGAGATTGAAGCAATGTACAAATTTTTATAGCAAATTGTTTCGGGAATGTTTGGGTTGAAATACCACAATGATGCAGCGATTCCGTTAACAACTTACATACCTAATGAAAACATTATGGAAAAAAATTTCAAAACTTAACACAACAAAGCAGAAGTAGAACGGAATTATGGAGAAGCACCCTAACCTAGAAATTCACTAACTCTAAAACCAACAAAAACAACAATGACGAGTACCTATTGGTTATGCATATCTTCTTCACGAAAGTGCTCGCAACACCTCCCCACAAAGTCACACGCAAATCCTCATTCCTTCATATATATAAAATAATTAAATTTGAATGTTCAAAACATATTTTTAGTAGTGTAGAGGAGAAAAATTTATACGTGGTGAAAAAAGACCTAATATTTTCAATGATGATCTCTCTCTTGGATTCAAGACGTGATCCATGAATAATGATTATTTGGAGAGGTTGAATGACCTTCATTTAGCCTAGCACATCTTGCATGAAACCTAAAGATAAATTAAATAAATCGATTGTAAAAGAGTCACCGTATATAGGAATACTTAAAAAGCAAGGGGCAAAACCATGGCAGATTATCTTACTAATGAGAATATTTGATTGTTGACCTTTGGTGAGCGAGATTATAAAAGTCAACCAAGAAGAACATGTGTTTAGGTATTGTAGAGCTACTAGTTTGAAGTGGATGAATTTGGATATCCCATTTCAAATCAATAATAGCCTCGCAGTTAACCTCAACATTATAGAATTTGTTTTCATACGTATAGAAGTTTTTCCGCTCATAATATTCACCTTTTTGGATTTGAGCTGAAAAATACGAGAGATGTCTTTAACTACGGCTAAAACTTGTATTGCACCTCCTTATGAAACAAATGGCACATGAATAATGAGATTGCAATAGAAAGAGGATGTAAAAATAGCAGTTGGGAGTCTTAAAAAAATTGCTAAGTGACAACATCCGTTACAGACCTATTTTGTGATTTTTTCAAAGAAAGTAAGGTCGACCAATGTTAAATAAATGATTAAACAACCGGATAGCAAGGCCGACCAACGTTAAATAAATGATCAAACGACCAGTTTTCGCTACCACAAAAAGAACTTAGCTATCAAAGGGAGTGTTTATTTTTCTTCTTAATTTCGTTCATCAATTCGCTAAATATTCACACAACGTAAGTCACGGGTAGTACTATTTCCATGGCTTTTTCTTCTATCATGTAGTCTCTTTCATTGATCAAGCTTTTAACTATTTGATTTTTACGTCACGGTTGCATTTTTTTGTTAATTTAACTGCTATTTGAATTTATTTAAAATTGAAATGAAATTAAGGGTAAGTTTTTTAAAATAAAATACAAACTCAACAATAAAATCCAATATTAGCCAATGTCTTAGTCATTAAGGAGTTTGTGTATATTATGTTTTAAGCTATAGAATTAGGGAGTCTAATTTCTCTATTTCTTATACAACCGGAAGTATAAATCAAGCTTATTCATTGTTTAAAGTTTTAATCCTTATTTTCTATGTTTGCTTAATTTTTAGAATATTTTTGTTCGGTTTTCACTCGTCAACGAAGTAGGCTACTATCCAATCCATAACACACTATTTGTCTTTTTTCTTTTGATAAATTAAATGATTGAGGTAAGGGAAGCCAAAGGGCAAAATGCAATCAATTTTAAGTAGATGTAAAGTATTAGATGTAGAGTATCAGCAACAAAAGATGTAGCAAGAGAAAATGAAATTAAAAATACAAAGGGGCTAGCCATATAGACATATCCAAATTTAGCAAGATACCTTAATCAAAACGAAACGTGATGCCCATAGATCGACATTATTCTAATAGCCTAGTAAGCAATTTGTTTGAGGAATGATAAGTGTTTGGCATACGGTGAAAAAGATTGGTATATGAAAGGATGATAAACATGTTTCTTTTGGTTATTTGTTGTGAAATTACCCGATCATCCATGACAAGGCGAGTTAAAGCTGGTTGGATTGCCATTGTTTGTAGTTGTGCAAACGCAAGCGAGCACATACTCCAATTATGCCCCCATGACTATACATTTTCAAATCACTCAACCGTGTGGCCATGATTCAAACCAAGGTATATTAAGGAAAAAAAATCAAAACTGTTATAAAAGTTGTAATGAAGCGGAATGCGGCTATAAGAAGACAAAATAAGGGAAAAATAACAACATAAGGTTATTTGAAGTTTTATGACAGGGGGACCAAGTATGAATATATGTTATGTTTACTTTTAAATAATATCATTACAAAAATATAATGGAATGCGGTGGTATACTTATAAGCAAAACACTCGACACATCTTTATAAACAATATTCTTAATACAATCATTGTGAGCATCGTCGTCACCAAATATCATTATTTTGAGACCATTGTTAGAGGTGACTCTTGAAACGAGCATCATATAGCTATCCACATGTGAAAACTTGATTGAATAAAAAGACTCCAACCTTTTTAGAGATTTCTCTTGGCTTTTATTAACTCGCCATTGCATAATAAGGCCTAATTAGAAATCCGTAACGTTTAAGAGTGAATGGCCATTTGCTTTCTACAACTCGAAAAGACAATCCTAGGGATGAAAACTAGAGCTTCTATGTTACTGCCAGTTATAATTCGTGCCTCAATTACCCTACTTGCAAGTTGTGTGACTATAAGTCTTGTTCTATTACATAGGCCACATGATTGAT